TCATCATCATCATCATCATCATCATCATCATCATCATCATCATCATCATGGTGCTTCCCCATCATCAAGTCACTGCAAAGAGGCACCTCTACTCGCCATGGCAATTCGAATGGAGTTATTTGGACGAGTGGAGGTGCCTCTAAGTATAATGACAAAGGAGCCGAACAAGAGCCTCGCTCTCGCTCGAAGATTTCTTCGTGGAGTCCACCAGGCCCATTAAGGAAACAAAAAAAAAATCCCAAAAAAATCATCATCATCATCATCATCATCATCATCATCATCATCATCATCATCATCATCATCATCATCATCATCATCATCATCATCATCATCACCTGTGAGATTGAAAAGCCAACCTTAGCACAACACTATCGTTACTTCTTTCTCCTCTATGTTTCTTCCCCTTCGCCTCCTCCAACTCATCATCCTCCTCCTCCTCAACTGTTCTAATAAGTAACCGGTACTTATGGTTTAGCAGTTAAACTCTCCTCGATGAAGTTAAAGTTGTCTGTGTCCAGCATCTCCGTCTTTCCTCTAGGATGATATGGGAGACAGCGTGGTGAAATAAGGTGCGCGTCTAAATAATGAAATTGAAGAAACTGGCATTTTTTCGCCAGTTTAGCAATTTTAACCGAATTTTCGTTTTTTGGCTCATCACGTTTCATGTCCATTTAAGAACACATGTGTGTGTGTGGATTTTACTGTAAAACGTTGATTAAAGGCACATAAGTGTAATTTTTCCGTTGCCGTGGACTCACAATCTGATAAAATAACCAGACTTTGGCACCATTTTCTGTACTATTTTACATCTGAAATCAGGCTACCCCCACCTCCTTCAATTGCAAATATTTATCTTGTATGTAAGATAAAAGGTATTTTCATTCATTGAAAGCAAGGCAAATGAACACGCTTTAAGATGAACCCAATAATCCTATATGCCCAAAAAATGACGAGCGCCTGATTCCACCACGCCCTTTCACATATAGCCTGCCTCGTTCAGACGGGGTTGGACCTGACAGGCAGGGTCAACGCAGCCAGCTTCCTTGTTAATTAACATTGCACCGAAGAAGAGAAGGAGGTGTTTATCATTTCCACTCAATCCATTCAAAATGGGTTTCTGTAAAGTTGAGTTGTATGAGAGATCGAGATAACTTTTTGATAATGTATCATATAGTGCCCCTCAGAAAAAAACCAAAAAACTTTCTTCTTAGATGTTTGAGGACATTGTCAAGGATATAGGAAAAAAACAACTCCTTTGAATCATTAAGAAATTGATTATTACCATTAAATGTATCACGTCCTTAGTACAACGCACTTTCAAAATCTCAGTACAATCCAAATTGTTAAGTATCCTTGACCTGCGTTATCTAGCCTGCCCCATGTCTTGCTTGATCCATTGTACGCACACGCTCAAATTAATCTGCTAACGATCTTGCGTTATTATCTGGAGAACTTGTGGTCCCCTGAATTTTCTTACAATGTCGAGAGGACGTTCCTTGATACGTCTTTGAGATAGCAGCAGTAAAGTTATGCCACGTAGCCTGGAAAAGTCCTGCCGTATCACGGTCACTCCGATAACTACGCAGAAGGATGGATTGTTATCGGGGGTGTGACGCAATATCTATTGATAACCCACGTGATGGTATCGGATTTTACTTCGAGGCGACGATGAAACTCTAATGATAGGAGGCTGCTGATGGCTGATTTTTTTTATAAGGAAAGCACAATTCCCAGTGACACTGGGGATAGGCCCAGAAACTATTCCCAGTGTGACTGGAAATAGGCCCAGAAACATAGGCCCAAAAATAGGCCCAGAAACCACTGGCAATAGGGTCTACACCAGAATTGTTCCCAGTGTCACAGGGAATAGGCCCAGAAACTATTCCCAGTACACTGAGAACAGACAGGCCCTTTCGCCTAGATCTATTGTTCTCACACCAATCTACATGGGCATGATGGTGATAGGTTACTGAACACTAGATCTAGACTATATTTAATGTAGATCTAAATCTAGATTCTAATTTTCTAGATCTAACTAAACAAAAGTAGTTTCTGGTGTGAGTGGAAGAATTTTTTTAAAGGAATAATCCTTCTATGCTTGCTTGTCATTCAGTCGTAATTTTGATGTACACGTAGATCTAGATCTAATACGGATTTTGGAGACCACGGTAGATCTACAGGACAGGTGGAAATTCTTCCCGATTTTTCTTTCTTCTAGATCTACATCTAGGCTACAGTCAAGTCTAGGCCAAGTAAGAGAAGAGAACAAAATTAAAGTACTGAACTGAAATGAGAAGAGAGTCTACAGTACACGTAAGAATAGAATCTAGGACTAGAATCTTGATCTTTTGAAATTTTGCAAATTTCTCTTCCAACTCTTTGAAGGAGGAGAACTTCGCGCCCGCGCCCACTTCCACCTGCATCGCAATTTTGTTTCGGAGTGAAAATACGAAGGCAAAGACTTCTGATTTTTTTTTTTAGGAACCTTCGTTTTTTTTTGATGCAAAAGAGTTTCGTTGTCACTGGGAATAGTTTCTGTACCTATCCCCAGTGTCACTGGGAATAGTCACTTCGTTTTCATAATATAGTTCAGTCAGGTTTCTGTCTCCTATTATTTTCTTTAGCAATAAATAATCCACCACCGACTTGCTAGGCCTGTCGTGGTTTCACCAGAGCCCCGCTAGCCGGACGTTTCAGGGTGACCCGGGGTGGTCTTCATGGCTACCGTAGCGGTCATGTGACTCAAACCCACGCCATACATCTTCCAAACCCAGGCATACCCTACTGTGTCCGTTTCCACCTCCTGCGACGATGGACGATGGGTTGGACTTTGGTAGCTCGTTCTCCCCTCGACGCCCTAGAGGTACAAGAGGACGGAGAGAGTAAAGTAAGTCAGTCCGGTTATTGAAAGGTCAGGATATCAGTCTCTGATACTGCAGCGAGGCAGGGGAAGGCCCAGAACAACACATTTGGGGAACCTAAACAAATGGGTAACGGGGAAAGATCAGGGAAACATGGCTTTTTTTTTTTTTAGAGCATCCGAGCAAAGGAATGAATGGAGAACCATGATCGCCGATGTCTGTCGCAGATCTGGCAGTGGATGATGATGATGATG